GGGGGGGGGGGGGGTAATTAAGACCGGGCATAGTTCAGGGAGAGTACTAATAATCTAAACCAAGTTTAAGGGTGGTTTAAGGTATTTTGCTCTGATGGTAAACAATCTCCACTTCCAACTAAGAGGTTCTGAGTTCGAGTCTCCCCAAGAGCAAGGTGGGAAGTTCTTGGAGGGAAGGATGCCGGGGTTCTGGAAACAGCCTCTCTACCCCAGGGTAGGGTAAGGTCTGCGTACACACTACCCGCCTCAGACCCCACTAAGTGGAATTATACTGGATTATTATTGTTAAGGTATTTTGCCTTATTTATTTCCTTTTCAAACTATTTTTCCCTAGAATTTTCTTTCACCTTTTCCTTTTTAAATATTTTATTTTTTATTTTACCTAATAATTCTCTATAACATAGCAAATAAAGAAAGAAAGAAGCTCCAAAGTTCGACCCTTTCTAAAAAGGAAACAGTTACTCTAGAGTAGCAAAATTCATCTAAAACATTTCTGGTTGTTGCATTTTTTGTTACACGCGTCAAATAATATTAACACGACTTCTTTTATTAACTTTCTTTTATTGTCATGTTTAAATAATTGTGCACTTTATACTTATGACATCAAAAAAAAAAAAAAAGTTAAGCACCCACGAATTGAAAATCTTAGATCCGCCACTGCCGACTGACATTGATATTTGTGTCTATTCAATTATTTTTCAAGCCAGGAACATGGTCAATATTCCAATAAATTTCAGTATATCACATATCGATAGTACTAATAATAAAAGATTAAAAGTACATATAGAAAAATATATTACATCTGCAGACTGATTCTGGTGTAGCAATCACCGCCAGTTTGTTCGCTTATATAACACAGGGCTGCAAAACAAACTTTCTAATGTATTAATGGTTAAAAAATTAAAAGAAAGAGACTTCTCACGATTTGTCTAGAGCTCACATGTCTTGCATGTGCAACCTTATTATGACTATTGTCGGTCAAGAACAAGAAAATGAAAACAACAGAAGACTTCTTGATTAGCTAATAGGAGTTGTTAAATTCTCCAATAAATTCCTATATTTTGCTGTCATGTACTCCCTATTTCTCATTATCAGTCATGTTTTTCTTTTATACACCTCTTAAGAAACATTAATTAGGAAATAAATTAGACTATTTATCCTTATTTATGTCTTAGATAAAATCTCTCTTTATTGAATATTTATTCTATTTTTGTATTATCTCCATCTTCAAGAACAATTATTACTAAGGGAAAAAAGAAAAAAATAATCGATTTTGTCTTGAATTTCTAAACGATAAATAATTTGAGACAACTATTTTTAGTAATCACGACTGATAATATGAGACATAGGGAGTAATTAAAAGCTAAAAATAGAAACTTTTCCTAATTATGTCACCAATATTAATTGCGCATACATAGTGATGCTAACTTGACTGTGATATTAAAGGATTCTGTTATTCCATGTGTACTCTCCTTCAATACCTCTTTTGTAGCTATGAATCTAGACTATATTGTATTATTCCATTGCAAATTTTGGGAATGCCTTTTCATATTCGTAATGCGGACAAGTATAGTAAAAAATAATAAATATGTGTTTCAATATAAGTATCTTCAATTCCCTCTTCTTTTCTTTTTAGAACTATTTAGGTGGAAACTGAAGAAAGAAGAAGAAGAAAAGAAGAAGGAAGATGACAATTGTTTTCGGTTTGGAAAAATGAAAAAATCTATATACATATTTCACATCGATTGTTAGAAATTAATATGTAGGGGATGCAATGATACTATGCATTTATTTTAATCTATTGAATTAAGATCTTGAATCTACTATGTGTAAATTACGTATGATTTTAGGCAATACATCTAGTAATTCCAACTCTTTAGTTAACGCGAACGAATCATTAGGGTTTAGTATTAAAAGCTTAATTAGGTAAGATACTGAATAATGCTGTGATATCCATGCATGCTAGCCTCTTTCTAAAAGAAAAATTGGGAGGGAGAGAGACTTATAACATTATTCATATACTAGTAAATTTATCTGCGCTTCACGCGGGTGGTTATAACCTAATGAAATTTACAAACAACTCTTTTTAATATGCAAATCTTGTCAAAAATAAGTCTCAAACCATACAAAAGGATAAAAACAAAAACAAAGCAATTCCTTATCAATAGCAACACTAAACAATTTGCTTCTTGAAGTTGAACAACAACCAATTATCAACCTTCACCCGAGTGCTTGTTTCTTTTCACATTGACAGAGTTCCACATTCTACAAAGGGAAAAGATTCAAAAATATTTATACTGTATCAATTAATGCAAAACATACTAAAAATATGAAAACTTATAGACATACATATTAATTCTATATTTTAACAAATACTCAATTATAGAGGAAGGGGAGAATAACCAAACAATAATGCAGAAAATAACCAAAGTACTTAAAAAAAAGAAGAACATGAACAGTTAATAAATATGTTCGGAAAACCTCAAATAAGTATCGTAATTTTATGGAAGTCTTTTGGACGAAAAATTAATGTACCACATTTTATAAATGAAAAAAAGGTTTTTAAAAAATTTAACAA